CTGGATTTACAACAAGTTTTGTTTAATAAGAAATGGGTAAAGCCAGCTTCTTCTCATAATCAAAATGCAGAACAAATGGAAAAGAAATTATGGTGGTGTACCTTCACAAGTTTGAGCCTCCACAAATAATGCAACCAAGTTTTACAACTTTAAGAGCTTCTACATACACTCCACCTTCGCTATTTAGCCCCAGGTTTCCTCTTTGCCCCCACTGTCTTATTGAAGTTCCAAAGGTTACAAAAAAGTCCTAGTTATTGCCAGAAACTTTTGCCTCCCCCTCCTCCCCTCCCCACCCAGAAGCTTCATAGAGAGGGTGGAGTGTAATACGGAGCTTTACATAATTGCATGGTATCCAGGAGGGCTACTATGGAGCCTCCGTGCGAATCTGGTTGCTAACATTTCTATCGTATTGTGACATGACTCACGACTGTTTCTTAGAAATTGGGGGATGGGGGAAAAGGAGAAAATTCTTTAATAAAAAGACACCAGGTACAAAGCAACGTTTTACTTTTGTTGTGGTAAAAAAAAAGTCACATTTTACAGATAAAATGTAGAACCCTGAAATACTGACACATTCTCTTATCGTGCACAATGCTGAGGTTCTCTTACGAATCACTTTAAAACTGCAATTAAAAATGTACAAAAAAAGAAAAGAAAAAAAATCAACCCACAAAGCTTCTAAAAAAGGAACCCGCAGGCACTTCCTCTTGTGGAATGTTTAAAAAGTTAGCCTACTAAAGAAAACAGTCGACTTCTTGTGAAGGTTTTGGAGAAATATGTATCAGTTCATTTATTTGGGTATTCAATAATATCCTTGGTGATAATGCTGACTCCATGGCTTCTGACCCCAGAATTGCTGCAATAAATGGATATATAGTTAATTTTAACCTGTAATCATATAATGGTTACATTTCTTACAGGAAAAAAAAAAAAAACGTGTTTAGCAAACACCTAGGTCTCCTGGAACCTGAGAAGACTAAAAGTCCTCTCAAACAGAAGAGCTGAAGGCAGTTCTGAGTTCACCTCACAGTAGTAATGTGAAGCCAAATACTCCATATACCATTAAGACCAATAAGCCACAGCTGATATTTGATCTATTGAGACCATCAGGCCAGATTAAGGTTTGCACAGAACACTATTTATAGCAACACTATCTAGCATTAGAAGATGTTGCCATCCAGTTTTGACTACACATCTGACTGTTTCAGACAGCATTTTGAAACATTCAAGCTGACACTCAGTGAAAATAAAGTTATGACTACTTACACCCTGCTGCCACTGGTTGTAGCCCTGAGATTGGTTTTTGTAGCCACGATTATTTCCCCTTCCTCTGAAGTTCTGCAAGAGGACAACAGTTTTTAACTACTTCATCTACACAGAATTTTCAGAAGTACACTAATACCGATGTTTCCATTACCACCAAAACGTCACATACCATACCGAATCTTTCGAACACAAGGTTATTAGGCCTATGTTAAAAACAAACAAACAAAAAAACCAACCAAAAAAATCCCAACCCAAACCTCCCTGAAAAGCACTAGAATACCAAAAGCCACCCCCTCCAAGCAACACAAAGCAAAATCCTCAGAATTAATAAACCAGCTCAAACTGTTGTTGCCAGTGGTCTGGAAAGCTGGCTAATCCAGTTTTGACTCACCCTATTTCCAGCTGCTAAACTGCACCAGGACAACTAAAAATACAAGAGCTTGCCTATTTTTAGTTAGGAAAGGCTGTGGTTGCTACAAGGATGTGTTATCTGATCAGACAAAAGGATATGGGTCATACAACTGAAAATAGAAGAGCTAGTCCACAAAACTTCAAATACAAGTTCTGGTGCAAAACAGGGATGTTGATACCAGTAGATAAAATATTGCATTTCCCCTGTTTGCCAGTATCAGACAAACCTGAGCCGTGTTTACTAGCTTGGGCTCCATCTGCTGGCTCCTCTGTAATCCAAATTATGTTTTCAAATACTTCCACTGACATTCCATCAGTTAAGACCGAGGCTAGGATGTCTTTATTAGCTGTGTTCGATACCAGACACCAAAACAAAGACTCTCCAGAGCTATTTCCAGCAAGTTCCCTAAATGCTTGATAAAGCTACATCTTGATCCTAAGGCCAAACAACAGTTACTAGTACTTGAAGGAAAAAAAAAAAAACCACAAACAAAAAACCAACACATCAAAAAACCCAACCCAAACCTTTCATCTTTAACAGGACAGAGACACAGTCTTAACATGGAACCGCCATCAGCACCACGACTTCTTATGTGACAATCAGCGCTCTGGGCACACACACTGAACTAGACAGCTTGGCCTTTTCACGTGGGATTAGCGCAGTACGGCAACCAAGTCTGAGGCTATTCACAGCCACCAAGCCTTTCAAACACCTTCCAAAGTACTGCAGATCAACTAATAAATCCCCCCAAAGCATCACCTGGTTGTAGTTTCCCCTGTTGGGCATTCCACCTCTGTTATAGTTTCCTCTGTTTGAGTAGCCACCTCTGCTTGGAAAGACAGGGCCACGAGGATATGGGTAGCCAATCGCACCGCTGCTGCCACCGCCGCCACCACCACCTCCACCACCTCGCTGAGGCATGTTGCCTCCCCTCCTGTTGTATCCACCACGATTGCCAGGGACTGCAGGGAGAGAGTTGCTTCAATCGAGTAATTGTTAGGTCTTAAGTATTTCTTACGTGAAGATTATTGTTCAAAATAATGACGGTAGAGAAACAAGATGTCCCAATTCAGTGCAAAAATTGCAATGCAAAGATCAAGTCGTCTGGTCACAGTGAAAGACAGCAATGCAACCATGCACTACCCCGCCCCGTACAGTCTGGTGGTACACAAGCGAACACCAAACCCAACATGAAAACTCAAAGCTGTGCCTCAAATCATGAACAGTGTAATCTACGACTGTGACAATACTCACTTTTAAAGCTGCACAGTTAACTTCGCACTAAGATATTAAACTTGCTGAAGCTGAAATCAAGCTTCCCACTGTGTACTAACTGCGATGCAAGACCTACAAGCTTTTTTATCTCCAACCTCCAAAATTTACTGGCTTCCTTCTAGGCTCACCTCCTCCTCTGAAGTTGCCCCGCATGTTGAATCCTCCACGTCCTCTCTGACCCCTATTAAACTGATTTTTATTGCTCTTCTTGTTCTTCTTTGAGCCAGTGTTCTGTTTCTTTTCTGGCGGAAGAGATTTCTTACTTTCTTCTTTGTATTGTTCCAAAAGCTTCTGAGCTTCTTCTTTTTGCAACTCTACATAGATTATTTCATCAAAACATTCTGCTACCTCTGGCAGTGTGAAGTTCCCTATAATTGCAAAAACACTGAGTATTCAGCATCTACATTCAGCGACAATCAAAGCTGTAATTTATCCACCTTTCTCCCATCCCTCCTCCCACCCCCTGCATTCCCTCAGCATTGGGACAAAATTACATAATTTAACCATTTAAGAAATGTTAACAGTGACAAAAGAAATAAACAGGTCTTCATGGAGTTGCCAGTACTGTTCCAAACCTTGAAAACATTCTGCCTAGATCTTTTTTTCTTTTATAAGCCTCCACTCAGAACACCGGTTTCTGCCAAATATGTCACTTATATAGGGCACTTTATGCCAAGACAGCTTTGTGCATCTGCATGAAGCATATCAGCATAACTGAGTAGTGTTAAGGACTGCAGCAGAGGGAACACAATATAGTGTTGTCCTACAAGTTACAATAGTCTTCCAGTTTTGTTTAAGTACAAGTGTTTAAGATAAAGTGGTTTTTTAGACTTCATGTTTACTTAATCCTTTAAACAGATACTCAGCATCCTAAAACACAGTATAGGATTATGTTCCATGCCTTTCATTTTGAGAACTGCATGCTCTGGAAGATCTTTTCCCTCCACCTCTGCCTTCTTTTGTGTTCTTTGCTTGTAGTCTTCATCTTTTGGGCAAACAACAACTGCTTTGCGCTGGAAGCCTGCAAACAGGCACATTTTTCTCCTCTGCGCAGCTGCAGACACATTTGTCTGAAAAAAATGCAGTAACTTACTACACGTAGCTGTCATTGTAAGAGTTAAGGAAGTCAACTTATGGTGTATAGACTTCACCTCTACAAGAGCTTGCAATGAAGTTTACAAATAACTGGACATAAAGATGCTGCATAATGCAAAGTTACGAGCTCATATCCACGTGTTAAAAATTCCTCCCACATCCCATAAATCCAGAGAAGTTCAGATAAGCATTTGTAGTAACATCTCAACTCTGTGTCCCCTGAATGAGCACTAAGTCAGTAAGTGAAACAACTGCTATTACAATATAACTTTAATCCCATTTAATTACTGCACTACAGCCTGTACAGGTTTCTTTAACCATTTTTCACTGAAGCTTCTACCTGATCCAAAATGAAATTCCGCTTCTTACGAGCTGCAATCTCAATGAACTTTCCAAGACACTGTGGAGCTCTCTGCAACAGTGTGTTAAGTTTTCCAGTGTCCGCCATCTGCCGCTTAAAACCTGCAACCTACAGAGAGATTTTCCAGTGTTAAAGTAGCCCTCACACACATGGCTGACGTTTTTCTTTGCTAAATGTTTTTCACCTCGCTTCAAGGACCATTCAATTCAAGGCCACACCTACAAACTCATAATTGAAATTCCCAAAGCCTCCATAAGACACAGAGCTTTATAAACAAAGACTCTAAGCGAATCAGTGCAGCTGAATCCAAGGTATGCTCATCACATTATTAATTCAAAGCTGAACGTTCTGAGGACAGCAACATGGAGAGACATACAAACACTGAGTCAATAACAGCTGACTATCTCTTACATAGTACCACAAAAAGCTTCAGAATCCTGATGTGCCACGTATGAGCAGCAGCTCAGAAAGACAAGAATCCTTAATGGTCACTAGCTAACCAGTAGCCAGTTTCTTAAGATTTCTTTGATACCAAAGAACCCCATGCAGACCTTGGATTTACAGCAAGTCTAATATCAACAAATAAAATGTCATGTTGTTGCTTACCATCATTTTGTCCATAATAGTATTTGTCCCAAGAATGTTGTATTTCCCAGGGTTGGCTGCTGCATGTTTGGTAACCCATGTAGTCTTGCCAGCTCCAGGCAAGCCAATCATCATCACCACCTATGACGACAGGTTCTATACTTGAGATACCAGTTCAAAATTTTTCTTTAATATGCAACTCAGACCAGGAAGCCTAATGGAAAGTGAGTGGGGGGTATGGGGGTGTCAAGAGGGGTGAAAAGTCATGGGATATCAAGTATTAAAGCCCCCAAACAAAGAGGTCATAGTTGTACAATAGTCTGCTTAAACTCCACCACTTCTATCTCAACTTTGAGATTATCAACAAGAAACATACCTCACAATCTTTCTTTTGCTCAGGTCCCTTTGGTCCTCGGACCCTATCCTCCAGGGGGACCTTCTGGATGAAGGTATACTCTTCAGGGACAGGGAAGTAAGGTTCCTCCTTCTGACCAAAGTTGAACTCAACTGCACAGTTATGGCAGAGAACATGTGGGAAGAGCGATCAAGAACTTCCTTACTTATTTTGAATGCAACACCAAGCTCTTGTCCATTCTTGGAATATGAGAGTTCCACTTCATCACCATCAAAATTCTGGTTTTCAGACAAAGCGTTAGTTTGGATAAAATTATCTCACTCTATAAAGTTACATTTCATTATACAGTCATTTCATTATATCAGTTATATTCATTCAACTTCTGTAACACTGTTATATCAAAAAGGAACTATTTAAAAGTTTTCTTTTAAAATGAGTTACTGTCAATGATCATCTTGTTTAAGATCCAATTCTTTTTTTTAAAAAAGCTTTCAAGACATTTGTCTGTGAATGTGAAATCCTAGCATGTTGACAGCAGTCATTATTGACACCTTCTACCTCCTCCCTATGTTAAACAACTTGTCTTGCTCTGAGTTTTTCCATGTTTTTTGTTCACTGCTTCTCACAAAGCAAATTCAAGGATGTTTTTCCTTGAAAGAAAATATTAAGTGAAAACTTACAGCAAAACATCCAATCACATCATTTTCATCAAACTTCTCACCAAAGTCTTCAGTCTCACAATTGCATGTCTTTATTCCTTTTAGAGAATACCCATAAGAAAATTCTTCTTCACCTGAAGAAATAATTTAAACTTATGAAAAACAGGCATTTTCACCTAATCTTTTAGAAATACAATCACTTCACAGCTACTTAAACAAGCTGCTGTTCAAAATGTTATTAACGCCAAAACAAGTCACGTCCCCCAAACAGCTACAGCTTATTCTTGTATTCGAGAACGCTCTCACTTGAGCTGGAACAGCAGTGCTTCCCCCATCCCAGTTTTAAGAGCCTTCTGCTGCTGGTTCCAGATTCACGTTGACATAAAGCTGAACTGCCAGACAGATACGAGCAAGTATTTTTAAACTCTGAAGAGCTGATTATGCACTGGTATACCTGTAACGCAGTTAGTCAGAAAGGCTTTCTGAATTTAGTCTCCAGTAGCACTCACCCCTCCCCATTTTAAAGGGGAGTTTAGCAGACATTCAGCCTATGCGACAGCTGAAGACGAAGCTGCAAGGAACAAGCTAACAGGAAGCGTCAAACACAAGGACTCAGGTGGAACTTAAGTACTTCACCAGACAGCTGCTGCTGCTGTGAGAATGTTAACAATTCATATACATTTCCCACAAGCAGCAGGTATGAGTTATAAATACCTTCATGATCAGTTCCCATCTACCTAATGAAGTTGTACTTCTTTCTTCCTAGCTAGTTTCGGAATTGAGGATTCTCTCCCCAAGCCAGAAGAACGATAATGTAGTTACCCAGGAACTTTTCTTCACTAGTTAAATCTTGTACCATGCCCCCCACCATTTAAAATTTAAAAAGAGGCAAAACTCACTCTTCCTATTTATGATACTATATGAAGAGGAGTAATCCATCTTGCCAGGTCTTCCAGAATGTTCTCCACAACCCATACTTGACCACTGAAAGATTTAACTCTGAAATCATGTACTCCTTAAAGGCCTGAATACTTAAACAACTTTGGTCCAAGAAAGTTTATTACTGGGACCATGTCCAGTGAACTGCAGACCACTTTTCAGAACTCATGGACTACAATCACTAAGCATTTCCCATCTGCCTAAGGAAAAAAAAAAACCAAACCACCCCACTTGAAACGTCATTCACATACACAATAAGTAATACAAAAATAATCAAATGTTTAAGTCTTACCAAGCAACATCCCACTTGTGTTCAGTGACCAGCCAACTCGAACTTCATGTATGTCAATGTCTTTTGTGTACAGGTGTTTAACAGGTATCTTTTCTGTAACCTATTTTTAAATTATTCATTAAAAGGTATGCAGCATTTATTAGACACTAACAAGATGGAAACACAAAGGTAACATCTGGAACCTGTACACTTTGGTTAGGTTTTGCTAAGTCTGAGTAATCGCCTCCTGCAAAACAAAACGTGCTGAAGTATGTGAAACCACAAGCCAGTGACTAGGTACATCTCCTGACTGAGCAATGAAAATGCAAGATACCATATACCTTCAAAGCACTTAGTCATAGCAGTCCCTCTCCATGGCTAAAAGCCTTAATTCTTTTGACACTGTATTTAAAAAAAAAAAAAAAAAAAAATCACAAACAAGATGTATACATGGATTTTTGTTTTTGTTTTTGTTTTTTCTTTTAAAGAAATGACTATAAAGTTGAGATTAACAGTAAATTACTTTGCCAACAAAATGTGGTAATGGTTAAAAAAAAATTGCTTTACATGGACTGGGGAAAATATTACACTCATCCCTTTCCACAGTAAGCAGACTTCCTGGGCAAGTTGCCAGCTTCAAAACAACATAACCAAATTCAAAAAGACCCACCTAGAAGCAATGGAATCTGTAGGCAACCAGCTATTTTAAATGGGCCTTTACAAACTTCACCAAAATGAAGCGAAAACCAATTGGCATCCTACCAGTTTCCACAACTATTCCGGTCAAGTGACTGAGGAGAAACTGATTTTAAAGTGAACAGGGCAATAAATACTGACATCAACTTCACTGGCCTTCCAAAGTTACAGGCACCAAGAGACACAGAAATCACTCAATGCAAGAGTGCGGAGAATGGGAACACTACCTGCTCCTCATGGCAGTGGTTAGATTTGAAAGTACTGGAGGAAGAGAACAGAGTGAGCACTTATATACACAGGCACATCATAGGCAAAGAAGCCTTTAACATTGTGAAGTTTAAAAACAAAATAAAAATCAAGCTTTGTGCCTCTTGTTACTCTTTTGTCAACAAGTTGGAGAAATCAGTCTATTACAACAAGGCTGACTGCTCTTTGCCATTCTTACCCTTTTTGGCAACTCTTGCTCTCAAAATTCAGGTACTTGCTAAATGCTCACATTTGCTGCATACACGAGTCAGAATAATTCAGGTTGGAAGGACCTCTGGAGGTCAACTAGCCCAAATCCCTGCTTAGAGCAGGCCAAACTCAAAGACTAAGTAGGAACAGAAAAAAAAAAAAAAAATTGCTGGGATCACTTATAGCCCCCTAAAAAAACCCCAAAACAAACAAAAAAACCCAAGACAAACTTCCTGTAATCTTCAGAGTACAAATGTCTGACTAGCGAGTACCAAAATTCTTCAAGCATTGATGCATGAGGTGCCAAACGGACTTCTTGGTTCAAAAGCAAGGCCAGAAGTTACATTCAGGGCAAATGCAAGCTGCTGTGGTTTTTTTGTTGTTGTTGTTTTTGTTAAATGGAAGTTCTTATAAAAGAGGAAGCAGTTTTGCAAATTTCATCAAGAACCATTCCAAAGGCTCCTAAGAGAAGGCCTTCTGAAAGTCCTGTTCATCTGAGTTAGTTTCAACCAAGTCCAAAAAAACCCTGACATGTATAAATTATACTATATTTAAGCATGCAAAACAGTCTCCCATAAAACATCAGTTTAACTCACCTTCATCTCAAAGCAGACTTTGCCTTTAGAAACACCATAGGAGGCTCTCCCTCCGGCCCAAAGGAAAGCAAAGCTTTCCATGGTCAGAGAGGAAGCACTAAATCGGTCTCTTGAGATTTTAAAATGCAGGTCACAGTTATCTGTTAACATAAAAATCATTCTGTTTACTCTTATTACAAAATAAAGTACAGCTGTCCAATTTTATGCATTAAAGGCGATTTCAGCTTTCAAAGGTGATTGTCAAGACAAACTGCCAGCAAGTGCTCAACAACTTTCAGGAAAGCCACTGAACACATGCCTAGATGGAGCTGCAGGCTGAAGCTCAGCCAAAAACCTTAGGAAAAGCTAGCACATGAGAATGGTTTTCAAGGTGCCATCTTCACTTCTATCCCAGAATTCCCCTCTGTTTTTCCCATCTGCTTAAAACTCAAATTTCGCCTCATCTACTTGAACCTTTTGTCAGTTACCCAAGATACTTCCATCAATATAGAGCAAAGGAAACTGCAAATCTGCATCGTGCTCTTTGCGTTATTTGCTAGGTACCTTTTTTTTGAGGTCTTCTTACTCCTCGTGCCCAAACCTAAGGGCAGCCAAGAAGTAAACAGGAACACAAGGTTTTTTGTTTCAGTACCAAAAGTAGTACTGTCTTTGGTTAATATAGTCAATTAGCAAGTCTAATTAGATTAAGCCAATTAAAACAATGTCAGTTAAGCACGCAGAATGCAGCAAGACAACCTACTTCACCTAAGAAACCAAATCTGCACTATGAATTCACCTATTGCCTTAGAACTTAAACGGAACCTTTGTGTCACAGACATCTTCAGAGCTGCACACCATGAAATTTCAAATTAATCTTCTAGTAGGTTTCAAAAAGACAATGCAAAATGGTAACATGAGGTGCAGGACAGAGCACTTGAATTCCCCAGAGCAAGGAATCCATAGAAGAAACTCCAAACCTATTTGACTGTTAACAAGAGAAGAGCAAAATGAGACAGCAGTGAGTTCTTCTGCCCTGGTATAAGGTCTGCAGGCTGCCCAAGCACTCCAAAACACAGTCTTTCCCTCCACTACTGGTAACTCTCGTGCGTGAGGTCTTGTTTTGTTTGCCTACAGCCATCCCCAATTGCAAGTATAGTATCTGTGATCCAAGTGCTTTCTCATTAGTACTTCTAACTTTCATTTGTTGCATGAAAACCTGATAAAATCATACAGAAGAAACCCATCTGTATAGGTTAGTTTCAGAACAACAAATGAGAACAGAATTTGAAGGTACAGCTTCCTTGTAAGACATGGGTAATAAAAAGCACTTAAGGGTGCTAAACCTCTTATATGTCTGGATCATTATGGTCAGAAAAGAGCACGCCAAGTCGTTACACAATTCAGTCTTAAAGCTACGTTTGATTCTGATCTCCAGGCACTCTGTTGACACTATAAATTAAATCACAAACTTTTTCCAGTAAGAAAACTTTCTACTAGAAATAATAATAAAGAAGAGTAGGTACTACTCAGTTATTGGGAAAATAAGAAGCTTCCACAAAGGTGACTACCCACCAGGTTAGCAGCTAGAAACTCGAGATTTAGTTACTAAAATGTCAAGGATGGCACATTCAGCTATTTACATAGCTGTAAACTAATACCTCCTTCCATTTCAACACACCTCCTCAGGGAAAAAAACCCACCTGGAACTACTAACAGATCTATCAGATAATGCCAAAATTTAAGCTTTCCTTCCATAGCACTTTAAGAATCCCAGAAGTTCAAGGATCACTTACTCAAGTTTTCTAATAGTGCACTAAGTCCTTATACTTACCCTCAAGAACACAAATGTCAGCTTTGCCCAGTCACAGTACATCACAACAACAGTAACATTTACAATCTGCCTCAAAACCCCACTGTTTGCAGGCACTCCTCGGCCCTTCCAACCAATTCTCTGCCATCTCATTTGCATAAATTGCCCCTCCCGCCCTGCAAACTTTTTTTTTTTTTTTCAGGAGGCCTTATCCAATTTTGTTGTTAAATTTATCAGAAAACATGAAAAAATATTGCAGTGGCTGGTATATAAATAGGGCCATGGCAAGTTACACAGGAAGCTAACTTCTCAAACTGTACTACTGTAAGCACCTACACTACTGACTCTGAACTTCCAGAAGTGAAAATCTGATGTGCTACGTAATTAGTTTTTCAAGCTGTTTTAGGGTGTTCTGTGCTCCCTCTACACTTGACCAGCTTAGTTTCTATACTAATGTTTTGGTTAAGACTTCAGAAAACTGTATGATATTCCAGACTCCCTTGGAAAACCAAGCTTATTACTGCTAATATAAAGACCTATATATCTTCTGTACTTCTGTATACTGAAAATGGGTGGAAAACCATTTCTAAATTTCTTTTTAAAAGTTATTTGGTAACAAAACCCAACAAATATATTCACCTCACATTTGAGAAAATACGGTTTTAAGATTAAAAGCATAACACCACATCTTTCCAGAGCAAGGGGAAGCACATTTACTCACAAGTATCAAGACAAACCACCGTGTCGTCAAAATGTTCATCTTCTTCTTCAACAGGTGGTTGAGGGGACTTGGCCCTAAACAAAACAAAAACAACCAACCAAAATATAATGAAGCCACATGTATTTTCACACCATTAAAATAAATATTTCTGTACTTTACTTCTCCTCATTCACAAAACACTGCCCAGCATCAAGTTTATTTACCTGCTGTACTTATTCTCCTCAATGTATTCAAAATATCCACGGCCATGGTCTTCACGTGGTCTCTTCACTCCCCTCTTTTTCTCACCAGGTTTTTGTTCTGTTTTAGCATCTCCTGTAACAGAATTTATTATTTTAATTACATAAAGTAATTCTTTAATTGCGAATAAAATCCCATGCAGTGGCTCCAACTTCGGAAACTGTAAGAACCTACAGCACAATAAAGGTAACAGTACCCTGAAGAATTTTGTTTTGTACTAAAACAAAAACCCGCATCTCGAATTTTCTCGGAAGACTCGGAACTCTACTAAATCATCTCCCACCCGCGACAGAAGCAGCCAGCACACCACGCAGCAGTGGGTACAGCCCTCGATGTGAAGGTCCCCACAGAAAACCCAGACCGCTCCCAAGCGTTGAAAACTACCCAAAAATCGGACAAAAAGCCAACCCATCCACACAAAAAAAGGCCTCCCGCGACGCCAGACCCGCACCACCCCCCGCCCCC